GCCGCAGGTCAGGGACACTGCCACTTCTTCCACTTGCACAGCATGTCTGTCAGAAGCCCAGGGCTCACTGTGGTAGCTTGACCACATAGCATAAAACTAGGAGTGCCTTAAGCATATAAGCATCTGCCTCCTAGTCACCCAGCTCATAGCTTTTATGTGACATGACTTTATGTGAATTTGTGTTGACCTTCTAAATGTCATGACACTGAACAATCAGCTTCAATTGCACTTTGTATGTATAAATGGGTGTAACTCCACCTCATCCAATCTCCTTTAAACAAAGCAAATTAAAACATACATGCACTAAAAGCTGTCAGTGTCACACGGATCTCCACGGATGTCGTACAAAGCACAGGATTTAACGCGCGCACACACACACACACACACACGTCTGAGGAGCCTGGTGGTCTGCTGTGTCCCGGGGAGGTCACGCAGGAACTTTCACGCTCCTCTTCACACTAAAAATGTCTCCTTTATCCTCCCCACTGAGAACGAAAGAAAAGGGAAGAAGAGTGAAAGAGTGGCTCGAAGGGGGGGGCGGCAACTGCTGAATAAGGATGGCTTACTCTTGTAGGTGTGCCTTGATGTTGCCAAGGCTACCCACACCCAGGCAAAGTAAGGGCCGAATATGGTCGCAGGTCGGGTGGAATGTGACATTTGTGAGAGCCGAACACAACGGGAGAAATTTTCCCTCCAAAAAGAGAGCATGAAAAGAACAACTGAGGTCAGTTTGAGAGAAAACAGGAGAAAGAATGTCTGGTATTTAAAGCATCGCAAGATTATTTAGATTTTTTGCGTGCAAGGTAGGTCAGAAGACATCCGGGGGTCCACCACCACACTCCTGTGGGCTTCACAGGGACACAAATAAAAAAGAAACATCCATTGACATGTGCTAGTGAGTGAAAATGCAGTTTAACAATGGGGAACAACACATTTCATGCGCTTCCTCTGTATTGTGAATGTCAAGCCTGTGCTACAGAGCACATTGCCACGCTTAAAATTCTCACAGTGGCTTCCTTGACTGCATGTATTCCAGTGTAACTGGCAGAGTTTTAGTCTGCAGATCCATAGTGTCCTTGTAGTGAGTTAGGTGGTGCTCGCAGCCTTCTTGTAGCTGAGTGAATGGAGTGCTGTCTGTCCGTGTCCGGGCTGACAGAGATGCCCCTGTGCTGCACCGTGTGTCATTGCTGTTTGCTCTGTGCGTGTCGAGTGCATGTTGGGGAAAAGGCTCATCTGTCCTCCATCCACCTTTTGTTGCACCTTACTACTCTCTCTTTCTTCTATATTCCCGCAGAGTTCAGTGTGGCTGTGCTAACACAGGAGGCCAGGGACAGAAGGGATTGCAGGATTTAAATGAAAATCAAATAAAGTGTGCCAGATTTAAAGCATCCAATAGGAGAGGGATGGTGGGCCACATGGCAGGGAGTTAAGTTAAAAAGGTCTAAACACCAGGTGCAGAGGCAGGTTTATCAAAGAAGCCACACTTTCAGTGTCAGAAGGCATCATTTTTTGAAGAATCCCCCACTCATGTTCACCACTTCCTCTAAAGCACCATGTCACACTCTCAGTCAAGCACAAGCTGTCTTTCTCTTTCTCAGCATCCCACTTCCTGATAATTCCCACAGCAGAATAAAACCTTCCTTAACAGACACACACACACACACGCTCTAAGTTGTGGTTTCCCTGTAGGAAATAAGCAATCTGCTGCAATAACGCACCAGCATTTATTCCTCCTCTCTTCTACTTCTCCTCCACTACCCCCTTCCCACCACCCACAGACCCCCCAGACACCCTGTTTAAACAAAGCACCTCTCCCTCATGACCATTATTTGAGCGCGAAAGCACCACGCAGACTGCGGCAAAAGGCCAGAGAAAAACACAAAATAGCTGATTAGTCTGAAGTGGTGATCTGGTGTCATGGTATCACAGGTCTAGCATGATTGACATGCTACTCTGTCGTGTACTACTGACGGCACTTGCTCTTCAATGGGAGTATTAGACATTTAAGTTTGGCAATTTTGAAAGTAAAAGAGTCTCAAAGCTGCCATTCAAAACTGTCCATTTTATCTATAACATTTCAAATTCTGCAGGGTCTAAGGAGATGAAAATGAGCTTTTGTGCCAATTCTAACACGTTTTTCCTTAAAGCCGAGTCTGTGAGAATCTATCCCAAAAACTTGCAGCCAAGAGAACATCACAAATGCAGGGAAAATTTCCAAAAAAAAAAAAACACACTTTACACAGTGCACCCTGCTTTTCAAAACCACTCTCCTCCCGCTCACACACACATAAACACATAGGCACAAACACATACACCTCGAAACAAAGGTGCCATTTTACTCAGGAAGGGTCAGCAGTTCTCTCCATCAGACAGGGGCTTGTTCTTGGTCAGAGGCTGCTGCCCAATCTCAGGCCACCCTCCCCTGGCTCCACAGGCCCCCTCTGGCCCCCACCACCCCGGAGACAAGCTCCCCATTGTTCCTGCACTACTAATAAATGACAGTTCTCCTGTTCAGACAAACTTTAGAGCCCATTCTAAACACACAAACACACCCATTTAAACGGAGTGTAAATGGCGCTCTATATGAGGAAGATACACAACAGCTTTTTTTTTTTTTACGGCCAGATATTTCTCATGGAGCTCATTAAAAGGTTATCTGACACTAATGATTGAAGGATTTGAGCTTGGTGCCCTGCAGACCTGATGAGGTAATGCAGAGGGCATATTTGCTACAAAAACAGGGTGTAATTAATGCTCAGTAAATGTTTCTATTGCTTTCCATTTCCCTTCAGTGTTCGAAAACGGCCATGACGGCAAGACACAGTTCACCAGGAGGTCGTGCTGCTCAGTCAGTGTTATCACCTGCGTGCAATGTCACATACAAAACACGCACGCGCGCACACACACACACACACACACACACCAGATACTGAGCTCAATCAAGGCCAGGGACCTTGGGTGAGACTTGAGTTTGGACGTGAGAAATCACCACTCAACTTAAGCTCATAAACGCACCATTAACACGCTCGACCACAGCAACTCGATCTGTTTACCTTAACCACGGTGTGTGTGTTACCTGATTAGTCCAGATAACATTTTAAGGTTATGGAAACTGGTGTAAATCACTAACATGCTAACAAACATCATCTGCAGGTGTGAGGAGCTCTGAAATGAGCTCATTATGTTCTCATTTAACATGCATAAAACACATCAGAATGCAGATAAATGTGAACTAAAACAAACTGCCAGTAATGGCAAAGTTCCTAGGAAATGTTGAGTGAGGTAAATACAGGGTTGTTAAGTGAGTCTGACCCTGGTGTGTATATGGCTCTCTGCTGCGGTTCACCACAAGCATATCATATGACAGCTCAGCCAGCGCACTCAGCCCTGTGAGAAAGCAAATTCCTCCTTCGCTATTCTCAGCCTATGGACCAAGACATAAACAAATGTATCCCCCAAAAAAAGGTACACCTATTGAAAAACTCTGGCTGCTTTGATGTCGGATCATCTGAGCGAGAGAAGCGGCTGTTGGAAGAGTGGGCGTGTACGGGGGTGTATCTGTTTTTATATGGTGCTTACACAGCGCAGGGGTTGATGTTGGCAGCGTGCAGGACAGATGTGGGGCGAGCAGGGATCACGTCAACAGACATGCTCCCGTTCCTCCGTTCAAACGACAAAAGGAGGAGAAGGAAGAAGAGGCAGAAGTTGTGAGAAGAGGAGTTAAAAAAAGCTCCCAGTGTTTAGTCAAGGCCTGCTCACTGACACAAAGTCTGTCTTTGTCTGCCTCCCAGGGTGCCAGATAAAGGAATTCTTGTGTGTCGGGGGCTCTGACCAAGTTTATTTGACACTTCAGCTCCTTTTGTGAAGCAAGTGTCCCACCGTCAATGCTGGCCATGAGAGTCACTTGGCATTAGACAGAGGGTCCCTCTTCAGTGGAGAAAGGGGGTCTTGTTTGGAGAAGATTTTTAATGGAGGGGGTGTGTGGTGGGGGGGGTGCTGAGTTGGGGAGGGGGTGGGGGGGTGCTCGGTCTGTGCTCTGCGCTGTATACAGACATATAGTGGGGCTCTGTCCCCTGCCCCAACAATAGGTGGAATTCTTCATTGCTAAGGAAGTGGACTGAGGAGTGAGTGCTGAGGGGTGAAGGAAGAGGAAGGTGCCCCGAGAAGGTGGAGGCTTAATCAGATAAACAGGTACAAACACTTCTCTCATACGATGCTTGCCTTATAAGGTGTGATCACATGCACCTGTAGGTTGCACGCAAATGAAGCATCTGAACACCATCCAAATCTCTGTGTGTTAACAGCAGCATAAAGTTGATCTCTCATACATGTCACATGTCAGGTAGCACATGGCTTCACATGGCAGGCCCCCATGTGGGCAAAGTTACAGAGACAGGTTTACTCTCACCTGAATGGAGTCACTGTAGGAGAGGTGGGTGACTACTTGTTGCTGTCTGTGCTCACTGTATCTACACTGTTCATTTACTTTCACAACTAATGGTGTGTGGACACCTGCAGGTGTATGTCCGGGTAAGCATAGGTCAAAAGGATGGACCCATAAAACAATGGAGCAGTGAACAGCTGAACCTAAATATCTGCGGCAGATCGGGGTTTGACATGGCTTTTTTAAAATCAAACACGCCCCCAGCTCCACTGACCCTAATTTGATAAGAGCAGTCCTAAGGAACCCCATAGGAGAGTTTGATTAAGTGTAATTTGGTGGTTAAGATGTAGGCAAAATGGGTGTGTAAGGAGATAACGACAGAACCTTTGGCCATTGTTGGACGTTTTGTTTATTTCGTTTCTTAAATAATAGCGGGTGAAGATACGATATTCCTGATTGGGACCCCTCTGGAGCACCCCAGAACGTATAGACTGTGCTGCAGGGTTTTACAACTCAAAAAAACAAAATAAAACAAAAAAAAAAAATAGAAACTGACTCAATACATAACATTTAACTGACAAAAGGGTTCAAACCGTAATTCTCTTTTCACACATACCTGCTGGATGAGGAGATGCGTATTGTGATTACCAAATTGCTGGACATCTGCCGAGCGCCGCTTTCAAAATATATTCCATGATATTGCTTTGCTACTGCCAAAATCCACCACAAAAAATATCGATTTCCATAACGATATCACGATATCACCCAAGAGAGTCGTCTGTCCGACAAGCTGCTTGTCCAGCATAAGGATTTGGGCTGCAGGAGTGATGGACACCACTCATCCATCCATGTAAGAGACAGTATTTCCGTACATCCTACAGGACTATTCACATCTGGAGAGTTGAATCCGTCAACTGTTGCCATCATCCCGTTTTAACAACAATAATAAAAATAATAATAAAAACTCCTCCACGTGTGTCAGGCTGCAAATGTTAATCCTCTTAATGCGTCCACAGAATCCGTGCGTAAAAGTGAATGTTGCTTTGGCAGATCAAGCATCGATCAATGTGGTTATTTTCAGTAAGGAAGAAAATAAGATGGTTCCTCCTTATCCATTGCAGTGCAGTGCAGTGGAGTGATGGTCTCTCCTGGAGCTCCAACGAGCGTCTCTGTCGCTGACACGATGTGCTCCTGTGAAGAGCCTGAGCCACACTGAGCCATAGTTGGAGCAGAGCAGCGCAGCACATGCTGCTCTCCTCCAACGTAGGCGCGCAAGGCATGATGGTACGTGGAGTTTATTGTTGTTGCAGGCAAATATTTGAGAACAGGACTGAACACTGCAACAAATACAACATTACATGGAATGATATTGGAACATAACATACTATAGTGGCAGTAAAGTATAACTGAAAGTACTGTATAATTCATTTAGCTGACATTGAAAGGTAAAACATGTTTACCTGTTACTGGAAAATATTCACTTACTTTAACTTACGTTAAATCAACCCTCTTAATATAAAAAGTGTGACTGCCATTATCAATAATCTGAGTTTCGATAATAACACATTTATTAGTAGCAGTAGTAGTAGAAGTGGTAGTATTATGTAACAGTGAAGTAAGTTATAAATATAGGTTGTTAGAATCTTGTTGCAATCACTCATCATCTGTCAGTTTATTCAGGTTGCGTGTGAGCCCTGTGTGAGCAGTGTGAGTGAGTAATAATGATCATCTGTGATATAGGGGATAGGATATAGGGATGTCGGTGCCTTGAATCACCTTCCCATGAATGAATCTCTTGTCTTTCTTACCTCACTTTCATGTCCTAACCACCTCCAGGCTTGCTTGTATTTCTGGGATCATAGCTTCCCTTAAACGTCAAAACAAGGAATGGATTCCCTGGAACGGAGTGCAGCGTTGAAGACAAAAATTAGAACCGACCTGAACTTACAGTATACTAAAGAACGTTAAATTAAACTCATGTTAAATCAAAGTTTTACTTAGAAACATGTGATATTTGCCATAATGTATGGGGTTGTCATGTGTTAAAATGTTTAAAGAGATAATCTGAATCCCTGTTAATAAAATCATTTTTAAATAGGTAGTGATTGTGTAGTCATTTAAACCCCACTATGATAAAACCATACTGTATATGACTATGCTGAATATGGTATTTACTTTGGTATATATGGCTGAAAGTCATAAAAAATATGTGTTGGTAAAGCGGGTAAAGTTGGACTTAGTCATCCTCAAGAAATCTAGCATATTTTTAGAAAACCACATTCCCCCATAGAACTTACAACAAACTACATTATATCATCATATAATTTAAAATGTAATAATTTAAATCTTTAGAAATTTCACCACAAAATATTGTGCATAACGTAATGAATACATAGAGTTAAGGTGACTGTACCCTCCACTACACCACCAGTACTGATCTCTAATCACAGGGCAAAGTGTGCATTGCACTTTGAGCAGGTGACACTCCACACCATCTTTTCCTTAGCTCCACATTTGGTCGTGCTCCAGTACAATCCTGGAGTACCTGAATTGCACGCGATTCTGTCAATTGCAGGTACTTGATGGCTTTCTTGTGTGCTGGGGTTGAAAAGTTGCTGGAAGTTTGCACACACAGCATTGCGTGACTAGAGCTGGGGATGAAAACACAAAGACATTGTTTTCAGTGATCAAACCCCCTTTATAGTAACTCAACAGCATTCCTGTCTCACATTCCTAAGCCACCGCTGCTGTGTGAAGTTTTTTTTTTTCCTTTTGAGAAAAAAAAGCAGTTAGAAAGAAAATGAAGGTTACACATTTTATCTGGTTCACTGTGTTGACACTACTTGTTGCACAAAAGTAATTTTGCCCCCACAGATAATCAATCATTTAACAAGACTGAATTAAAGTATTAAAGAGGCAATTATTTTGCAGAGGTAATTATCTCTCATCTAAAACTATGGGATGAATGTAAACAATAGAGCCAGTAGTTCCTCCTGCTTTCATGCTCAAAACAGAGACAATAGAAAATGCATTATTTCTCATTGTGTGGATGTGCATAATGCATGTGTGTCAGCAGGCTTGCCAGTGTGTGTGCAAGTGCCTGCAAGTGCATGCCCACTTTGTGCATCCTCCTCCTCCATGTCTCTACTCACGCCAGTGTACGTAGGTATGCGCAAATGTGCACACAGATGTTTTCCAGATTGGTGTGACAAGGATAATCATATCCAGAGAGCGCAAAACCATTCTGAGCGCTGCTCACATGGATAGGAAGAATGCATCAGAGAATCCAAGGGAAACAAGGCTGACTGAGTGTGGAGAAGATTCAGATATTTTTAAGCAGCATAAACAAACTGCTTAGCGTACATATCAAGATGCACAGCTGTGTAATGTGTGATGCAGGAATACAAAAATGCATGAGTGGGAATGTACACTGTCCAAAGAGCCCACATAAGAGACTGGTGTTCACCTGGTGGCTGTGAAACAAATCTAATGTTTACTGGAAGCGATGACCTCTACGACTTCTGCTTTCAACATACAGAACATAGAGAGGAGGACAATGGAGTCAGTCATATCACCAGTGTGTGCTCTGAGAGTGATTAAGACTAGAGGACATTCATTACTGGCCCGGCTCAGACAGAGAGGGGCTTCAGAGCAGAGCTCTTGTGTTGGACTGTTTGGATGTCCTATCCCCTTGTATCTCTTTGACTACCTCCAACACAAGGCTCTATTCAAAGTGACTAGGAACAAATGTTTCCTTATGAGGCTCTGAGTGCCCAAGCTCCAGCAACAGGATAGAGAGCAAGAGACCGAGAAGGTTACAATAATGCAGGCAATACCGTAGCTATTTAACTACTCGGCCCATCTTATGATGTGAGCTGCATTATTAGGTGGGGGAGAGGGAGGGGGCAGTGATGTTATGGAAACCAATGGCTCCATGAGAAATGACAAGTATTTCCCAATAACAGCGTGACCTTTCACTGGCATGGCCCCCACCGCAGGCTCACTAGCCTGTCACACATGGTTTCCCCTCCTTGCTTTCCCACTCTCCAACTTTTCATGGGTGTTATTTCTACATCCGTCTGGGAATTAATTTGGTTAATATCAGCCAGGAAACCTGAGGTTGAATTCCATGTTGGCAGCTTGTGTAATTTCATGTACGGCCAATCTGTCGACTTCCGTCAGGCTTGTGGCCTCTCCGTGGGAACGGGCAAATTGAAGCTGAACTGGGGTCAGGGCAAGGTTTTAGAGTGACGAGGGTGATGATTGCTCATGTGAAAACTGGTAAAAAAAAAAGAATGGCTTGTGCCTACTCTATATAATAAGCCATAATGTGGCGTGTACCTCTTTTCTGTAGAATAACCAAGGATAAAGAGCTAAACCTCTTGTGCTATGAGACTGATAGAGCTGGACCCTTTCCAACACCTCGGGGAGTCAGATTTGTGTCAAGGACGCTCTTTCAAAGGAAACCATGCAATCGGTGACTATGTCTTAACAATCTACTGGTGCTAACCATAAAGATTTTGGTTAAATCCCTTCCTTTATTCTGAGAGATCATCATCTCTCTTTATCAAGCTTTTACCCCCCCCCCCCCATTAAGATGTCAAACTGCAACAGGGGTTCTAATGTTTATTCAAACATGCTTTCCCACTTTAAGAGAAATTAAATGAACTTTTGGCCTGGACATGCTGTACAATACCACTGACATGTGTATGACTCATTCCTCCTTAACACACTCTTACACTGGGCAAAGGGGGAATTTCTTTGGACAAACACACCCTTCCTGGAGAGCACCCTAGCGTAACCATGAGAATGTTTTACCCTGCAGGTGCCTTGGTTTATTGGGTTTCCTTGTCAAACTATGCACCTTGTAAACAAATTCATAGCACTACTAATCAACTGCATGCACATTTTGTCTATGTATGTGAGTGTACTTGTTTAAAAATACGTGTGTTTTGAGGGACATCAGTTGTAGCTTTTTAACTCCTCAAAGGACCCAGAATCAAAGGTTTTAAGGTTAAATTTTTAAATAAGGAAAAGGTGAGGAATAAAATTAGTATCTAGAATCAGCACGTGTTCATATGCCAACTTTGTCTGCAGATGCTCTTCTAGGTGTGTATGCGTGTGTGTGTGTGATCTAAGTGGCAGGCTGTGTGTAGGCAGCTGGGAGTGTGGCAGGGCTATGCGTGACTAGGAGAAATACACCTGTCTCTGCTCAGGTACGGAGGGGGAGCCGGCACGCAGGGGCCTGCCAGCTGAACAATGCTCTCTATTGTACCTGTGCTCTGACTGCAGACGCTCACAGGAGAAGCCCTGAGCCCAGTGTGAGTGTGTGAGTGTGTGTGTGTGTGTGTGTGTGTCTGTGTGTGTGCGTGTGTAGCGCTCTCTCGCTGTCAGTGCTCACACAATCACACGACATACAGAGACAAATTATTTATAGTACACATATTGTGCTGACCGCAGGCGCCCCGGGCAAAATCCCAATAACTCTGCCTTTTACACGCAAGCTGCTAATCAGAGCTGTGAATGACAGATTCCACTTCCAATCAAAGAGAAGAGAAAAAGCGACGGTTGTGTTTGACTGTCTTGGAACATGTTTCATGCAAGCCATTATAAGCTTAAATGCAACATACTGTACTATATATATAGATGTGAAAACAAATGCTAAAATGTAGAAATAATATAAATCGGATGTCTGCAATTAAAAGTTTATCATGATGAATAATATTAATCTACGGCTAAACAAACCCACACAGAGATAATGGGAAGTGTTACTGTAAAGGTCTATAATAATAGAGAGCACAAGACCACTATGACTGCGACTATTGTTTAGTAATCTATTATCAGTCCCACACTAGCCCAGGTTTTTGCAGGCTTTTTGTTCTCGGTACAGATAAGGCAACCTTGAGATGGAGAGCCAAGATACTGTAGATGAAGAGACAGCGGGAGACAGACAGGCAGACAGAGACCCGGAGAGAAAGCAAGAAAGTAAATCACTGGGGCTCTCCATGTTCACCACAACAAAGGCTGACTCTCATTTCTTCTTGATTTGTTGGCCAATTATGATGACAAATGAACATGGCAACCAAAGAGAGAGTCGGGGATGAGAAGGAATGCCGGACATCTGCTTTTAAGAAGTTTTTGGGTTCTGGGTTTAAGAGTGGATGGACACAAGTACCCACTTCTGTCAAACAGAAACTGCAGCTGTTCCACATATGGGGTCGGT